GAGTGAGGCCCAGTGGTGCTGAGTCCCACTAGAGGGGCTGGAGCCCTGCAAGGGAAACCAAGCCCCCCACAAGGAGTCCTAGAGGATGCTTGATTGTCCTTGAGCCCTGACACCTGGAGGTGGGCCCTGGGATCATCAGAACTCACAGGCTTTCTGGGAAGCATCCCATAGAGAATTCCCGCAGAACCTGCTCCAGCACAGACATAGGACACACATACAGCCTCTCTGAGGTACAGTCACACAGTTACCCAGACAAGGGCACTGGCAGTGCATCGCACGTGAACCAGAAACCCACGTGTGTAGTCACAGATCTGCTGGACACAGGCACATACACCCATGCACACATCATGACATGCAAACACACACAGGCACACATGTATAGACACGTGTGTGCTTACACACAGGAATGGGCCCATACATTGGCAAAATACACTCTTGCAAGGACACAAATGCTTAGAGTTACATGCACACAGACATGCTTATGGACATGTTCACAAGCATGTTCTATTCCTTCCTGCCTTCATTTCAGTTCTCCCAGTCCAAGACCCTCCTGCAGCTCTCACCCACTATGGATGACCCTTTGCAAGGTGGGCATCAAAGGAAGGCAGACGCCACATGCATCCAGGACCCTGGGTATGGAGCTATGTGTCTACATATGAACATGGGAGTGTCACTGTGTATCTGCTAGTCACAGAGAAGTGTCTCTGTGACACTGCATGTATTTTCCTGTGTATATCTGTATGTACTTCTGGCAAGACCAATGTGTAGCTCTGTGTACTCATTTGTGTGAAAGTGAGTGTGGGTGACAGTAAGGCATTTGTGCATCTGTGTGACTGTGTTGGTGGACTATCTCTCCAAGCACATCTGTATATGTATGTCTATGTGCCTGTTTGCATATATGTGCATTTTTCGTGTGTATGTGGCCCTGTGGTCGGGAATCCACAGGCTAGCTGGGCTGACTCCCCTCTCGGCAGAGGCTGCAGCCTGGGGTGGGGCCCGGTGAGACTGGACTGAATCCCTCAGCCATTGACAGTCGTATTTACAGAGCTCCGAGTAGGACGTAATTGCTTCTATTAATCTTTCTCCGGTTGTTAATTGCTCACTTATCGGGTTGTGTATTATGCCGACTGTTGCTCTTAATTCGCCTCCATAGCTGCAGGTGTTTGCTGCCTTATTAACTGTTAATCGGCGCAGCTAGGGATGGAGACTTAATTGGCCCCTAGAGTGGGACACAAGCAGGCCAGCCGGGCACTGCCAGGCTCTCAGCTTGTCCCTAGAACCCTCACCTGTGAAGCACAGGTGGCTACTAGGGAAGGATTTGGCCCACTGCCATCCTCCAGCAGACAGCAGTCCTGCATACAGTGCTCAGAGTGACAACTGCAGGGTGTGGCCCCCACGTAGTTCTACCTCCTCCAGAAAGCCAACGAACCAATCAGAATCCAGCTTTTATAGACCCTCTTCATCACCAACAGCCTTCCTCTACTCAGGATAGGAGCCAATCTCGTTTATCTTAATTATCTGAACCTAATCGAGAACTAAGAGACCAACACTGAGTGGAAAGTGATTCTCCTTCTTTAACATCCGCTCTGCCTCCCCTCTGGCCCTAACAGTCAAGGCTGTTAAGGTTACAGAGACACTGGGAGAATGGAGGGCAAGAAGGAGCTTCTGCCAGAGCAGGAAGGTAAAGATAGACCCAGGAAGGACCTCCCAGCAGATGGAGGTCTGCTGCTCCATCCCAGCCATGTCAAGGGGCCCTTCTCAGCCTTTGCTGTCACAGCCCTAACAGGAACTCACTTCCTCCGTGGCACTGCTATGTTGCTGCAGTAGTGAGAAGGTTCTCCATACTGAGCTGACTTCTGCCTCCCCCACCCCAAGTCATAGCATAGGAGTCCCATTTGTCTACAATGGGGATATCGAGGACCAGAAAGAGCAAAGGAGTGGCCCCAGGGTTCCCCAGTCCTCTCTGACAACAGCTCAGATATGCGGCTCTTCAAGTAAAGTTTCTGCCCTCAGTCCCCTGCTGGGCCGACCTCCATCCCAGACATCTCAGTCCTGGAGGGTACTTTCTTGGTCACCACCTCCTTAGCTCTGGTTCTTAAGCTTCTCAACCTTAGTTGCCACTGCTGTAGCCACCTCAGAACTTCTGAGACAGCAGTGCAAGGTTTCTGGAAACAGTTGGCTCCATAGAGAGACAAGAATGTAAGGGTGCGCGTAGTGGTGGTGATGGGAGGGAGGGTCCATGTTTCATCACCCTGGCCTCCAGCCTCCAAGAAGGACAAACAGGCAAACCACTAGTCCTCATCCTCTGCCTCGAATCCAGTCTGCCCTGACATCTGGAAGTTCTTCCTGGTGTTTCATTGTCCTGTCTTGAGCAGCAAAGGAAGCCAATTTGCTTTGGTCAGAGTCTGAGAGGAGCTGTGCTCCATGGAGGGAGGGAGTGAGCTACCACTGAGTGCCTATTGTATGCCAGAAGCAGCAAGAAGTGAATGTAAAAGTGGCATCTCATTGAACCCTCACATAACCTGATTGAGTTAGGGATTAGTATCCCTATTCACAGAGAAGGAAACTGAACCATAGAGAGAGCAACTAAACTTGCCCAAAGCCACACAGTCAGGAAAGGGCAGAACTGGGATTCCAACCAGGGCTGGCATTGCCTGGTGGAATTGGTTGGGTGTCTTTGGTCAGGGGTACCTTGACAGATTAATGTAAATTGCGCTGTAAGGTGACTGGGGGTCTGGTAACCAATGGTCACTATTATAGTTCACCCACCTACCCCAAATCTAGGAACCTTAATAAGCAAAACACTCACGCATGCGCGGCCCACGTGCCCATCAGGCGGGATGAGAGAGAAGCAAACGCAACTGTCCAGGGACAGTTGCCAAACAGTTCCGGCCCCGCCTCTATGTTAATGACATGCAGATACATGTAAATTTGCACACGCAACAGCTCAAATCTTTGGGAGCAATGGGGTGGCATAGGAGCGGTTGCTATGGAAACCCAAAAGCGACCGCCCCTCTCCTAACCGCACCAGCAAGCGCATAGACACGTGCACAAAGACCCAGGTTTCCTCGCCCCAGAGCCCATAGGATCACGGAGTCGCGGAGGGTGTGACCGGAAGGACCCTCAGAGACAGCATCCTGCCGGAGGGAAGCAGAGAAAATCGTGGGGAGAGCAGAGTAGCGGGGCGCCTTCCACTAAAACCGAGGGAAGCTAGGTGGCCTTTCGGGTCCTTGGCGACTCTTACTCGGGCCTGGCAACGTGAGCCCCGCCCAGCGTTGCTTAGCAATGTCCCTGAAGCCTAGTAACCTCGGCCACGCCCCCTGGCAACAGTTTAACTAATCCGCTCTCCTGGCCTCTGCCAAAAGAAACCTAAGGGGCTTGTGGACTAGGGCCAAAAGGTGGATGGAGGTCATGTCCAGTTCCCAGGCTCGAAGCCGACTGAGGATTTCGAGGTTTGCCTATCCGAGCCCTCTCCCCGGCCGAGGTGCTAGAGGGCCACCTTATCACCCCCACTTACAGAGAGTAAAACTGACGCTCCGAAAGGAAGTCCCGGCCCATAGTACAGAGCTTCTTCCTTGAGTGCTCGGTAAGGCAGCAAACGCTCTCCTATCTCCCTAGGAGGGAGCCTTGGGCCTGGAGTTGGGGGGCGCACCGCCGTTCCCCCTACTGCCCTGTGTTAAGAAAATGACCCCAGTTGCTGCCGACTCAGAATTAAGCCGTAGGTTGCATGATAATTTGAGTAATTTGCATATAGCTCTGAGCCTTCACAATCCCCTTGGAGCAGGGAAAGTTCCGGAAGGAGCCCCGCCCCCTCTCCGGTTCACCTGTTCTGTTCCTTCTCCCTGTCCCATCCCCGGCACCCCACCCCCGCACCCGTTTCCAATCCCTACGGCTAAATTCCCACACTTCGTCCCGCCCCCAGTTTGGCCTCTGGTCCTGCCGGCCCCGACCTCCATCCCAAGGCTGAGGGCCCCCTCTGCTGTCGGCCGCGGGTAGGGCAGTAGCAGAGATCATGGGGCAGAGATGGGGAACTCCAAACAACTCTTGTCCCAAACTTCCCAGCCCTGGGAGAGGCTGGTACACCGGTAGACTTTGAGAAGGGGTAGGAAGGGGTATACCCCTTCAGGCCGGGGCGGCGGTTGGGGGTGAAGTTCGGGGCGTGCCAGAAGTTCTCTCCTCCAATCCAGGCCCTGCTTCTGGGCCCTGGGTTAGGCAGCCAGGAGGAAGGTAGTTCCCCCGGCAGTGCCTAGACTCAGCTCTCCGGAGGCACACATACAGATGCCTTACAACTGTAGCTGCTATTAGGAGCTCACTCCAGGCCCCAGGCAAAGCAGCACCATTCTGTCCAAACACCAGCCTCCAACCCCACCCTGAATATCCACCCAACCCAGGCCAAGACCCTTGGCTTTCTCTGGTATCAGTCCGTGGGCGCTGGCAAGAGGAACAGAGAGGAGTCATCCTATATGGACTTCCCAACTTTCTCAGCAGCTCCACACATGGACATGCAATCACACACACACACATACACACATGCCAACAGGCACACACACACACATAGAGACTCCCAGATACACACAGACACAGAGACATGTAGGGATTATGATGGTAATCTCTGACTATCCAGAGTGAAAATTTTTGGTCACTGAAAAATATAAAAACCACTGCAGTCTGCTCCCCTTAACAATCTCTAAGCGTCTGCTCCTTCAAAAGCCTCATTTCTCTTCCCCTCTGCCCCTCCTCAAAAAGCCACATTTCTCTCTCCCCAGCCTAGTGCTGCCTTCTTCCACCCACTTCAAAATACTTACAAAATGCTTCCAGACCCCAGCATGGCAACAGCTGTGCCCTCGGGCACAATGATGGTTCAGGACCTCAGACAAGCATCTGGCGAGGCTGTCCCTCCATGCCCAGCACTTTAGCTCTGCTATATCTGTGCACAGAAACTCACAGACACACTGGCCAGGCCCAGGGTCCCTCCTTGTCCAACCAGCAGATACAGTCTCAACTTTGCCAAATTCTTTATTAAACTGAAAATCAACACTAAACAAACTGCAGAACAGGAAACTCAAACAACTGACTCTCTCCTTCCTCTGCCCCTGTGGCTCTCCCTGGAACAGCTTAGGGTTCAGCACTGCTGAGGGAATTAAAGCCCCTCTTCTGGTGGGCAATGAAGGTCAGGTCTCTCCAACTGGGGGTTCCAAAGAGGAGTCAGGGGCTGGGCCAGGGGGCTCTGGAGCTGCCGGGGCTGGCAAAGGAGGCCAAGGATCCCAGGGACTGCATGCAGGAGGTGGGACAGAGGGTTGGGGAAGTTGCTCCTGGCCTAGGGACCTCACTGAGGCTTGGAGCTGATGGCTCATGGCTACCAGGGATTCAAGGTGCTGCAGGAGGGCTTGCTGGGGACAGGAGGCCCTGTGGAGGTGCTGACCATGGCTGCCCAGTGCTGCTGAATAGGGATGCCAGGACTGCCACCACCCTGGTTTGGGGGGCCACTGCCCTCGCCCAGGACCCTGCCAGGACTCAGACTCTCCCCACAGTCTCCCTCTGCCTCTGGGGGGCCTCTGCCAAGCACAAGTTCCCCTTGGAGCCAGGCAGCCTTTGTCCTGGCTCTGCTTCAGGGGATCCCTTGGGGGAGGGGAGCCTTTCAGGGCCACATCAGGCCCCCAGTCTTCTGGCTGGGAGCATCTCATCTCCACTTTTCTGTTGAAGGAGACCATTTTGTGAACCTTCCCCCACAAAGGGCTGGACTCTGCTGTGGCTGGAAGCCCTGCCTTGGGGAGCAGCACGGCCAGCAACAGGCTTGAGTGAGTGGCTTCCAGGCCTGGAGGAAGAGAGGGGAAGAGACCAATGACCTGGGAGGAGAGAATGCCTAGCCCCCAGAAGCTGCATTCTGGCTGGGGCAAGAGGTCTGGAGGTTAGGCCCCAGGAAGAGCTTTCCAGCAGTGAGATGGGGCCCATGAGATGCTGGGGAAAGTAAGTGGGAGGGAGAGCCTGACTCAAAAGATTTGCTCTCACAATGTGGGAAAGGGTTCAACTGGCTGAGGGCGAGCATGGATGGTTTGACCTTGACTGCTTCAGAGTCTACTACTTTGTCCCCAGGACATGCAGCCCAGAAAGGTCAAGTTCTCTGCTTAGGAAAAGGTACAGTCCACCCCTTGACCCCCAACTCCACCCCGTACCCATGCTTTCCTGGAGCCACGCCCGAGAGGCTATCCATGCACAAAAGTCAGCTTGGCCCAGGATAGCTGTGGTGAAAACATCCCTCTTTCCTCTTTTATTTAGATCTTGCTTTCAGCCAGTTGTTTGTGGGTCCTGCCTCTGTCCTGCTGTGCTTGGGTCAAATGTGGCTATTTCGTGAGTTTCTCTCCAGGGTGCCTGATTGGAGAGGCTGTATGTGTGGTGGTCAGGCACCCAGCTTCTGCTGTTGACTGGCTCTGTGACTCTAGACAAGTCACTTGCTTTCTCCCTACCACCGTTTCCTCATTTATGAAATGAAGAAATGAATACTATCATTCTGATGGGGTTGTTTTGAGGACTATATCAATTAATATCAATAAAGCTTTCAGGGCACTGTCTAGCAAGTAGTAAGCAATACCCAGATGTGGGCTATTCTTGTTTGTGTTGTCATGTTTGCCCGTCTCAGCTCCCTTCTGAGATGTTCCCATCTCCAAGGAGACAGGGGTGACTGTGTCACCAAGTGAGGGGAGGCAGGACGGGCATGGGGCACTCACCTGGGCCTCCAAGAGGTCGCAGCCTTGTGGGCAGGGGCTGGAAGGCAGGCAGGGGCAGCAGGACCACCCCGACCTGTTCCACAGCTGCCAGGCCATGGCGCTGCTTGTTGTTGAGGTAGGAGTAGAGCAGGTGGAAGTTCTGGGTGTCCCGGGCACCCTGTGGGCACAGTCTGACCGCGCAGACATCCTGCAGTTGCAGGAAGGAGAGCAGGTTTAGGAACAGTCACTCTTTGCTCCTGTGAACACCCCTGGTCTCATCTGAACCTCTGAAAACCCTGTGAGGAAGAGCGTCCCCATTTTCCAGAGGTGGAAACAGGCGGCCTGGCCCAGGGTCACCCTGTGAGTCTGTAGTCACAGTGGAATTTGGACCCGGATATCTTAAACCAGACCTCTGCTCCAGAGCTGGAGCAGAAGAGAGCTGAGGGGTAGGGGATGGGTTACCTTGGCCCGGGCTGGGCAGATGCTGGCCAGAAAGTCCCAGACAGCGTTGGAGGGGATGCAGACTGCAGAGCGGATCACTGGGGGCAGGGCCTGGGGGCAGGCAGAATGGCCAGTCAGCCTCCCAGCTTCCCACCTGCCCAGGGCTGACTCGGTACCAGCTACCCAGAAGCCACAGCCTGTGGCCAAGAGGATGGGCAGGAAGTATACCAGGAAGCCCTAACTGCCCCTGGAGACCTACAGCCTGTCCTGGCCATCCCCTACAACTTTAAGCCCCTCACTCCCTCCTCTAACCCCTGACTACCCTCACCCAATGCTTCAGCTGATCACTCAACAATGACTCCTAAAACCCTCCTCTGGGCCAAGAGGCACCAGATCCCTTCTCCTAGTTCCTTCTTGCTTTATGCCTTGGGTTACAGGGAGTCCTTTGCCCATGTGTCTCTGCAGGAGTGGGGCTGGCATCTCATTTGCCCCTGTGCCTAGCACAGGGCCAGGAACAGAGAGGGTGCCAATGACTTGTTTCAGAATGAGTGAGTAGATGGATGAATGAACGAATGAATGAACAGATAAGGGTGCGAGTAGTTGACTAGGCTGGTCAGTGTGCAAGGGAGTCCCTTGGCAAGCAGGGCAGGAACACCTGGATGAGCTGACAGCTGTGTCCCGAGACCAGCTGGGCCTTGACCCGGAACTGCTTGATGGAGAACATGTCCAGAGACCCTTCCCAGGGCAAATGGCTGGGCAGGGCCTCTGTAGGCCCAGCAGGCATCTGGGGCCTATAAGAAGGGACAGAAAGACAGGGCTAGGCACAACAACTCAAGTCATCAGGGCCTCCCCCAGCAGTTCCTTAGTTTTCAGAGAAAGTCCTGTATCCCCAGCGTGGGTGCTGGAACACTGTTCCAAGGATGGCCTTACTCAGTGGAGACGAGCAGGCAAGGATGATTAGTTCCATTGCACAGATGGGAAAACTGAGGTCCATACAAGCGGTAAGATTTGCCCTAGGCCATATGGAAAAGCCCAGGCTGTGTCTGCTGCCCCAGCAGGTGGCTTCCCCTACCCACCCTGCTGGGCTGCCCACCTTCCTGGCCCCTGCCCCACACCTGTCCTGGGGCTCCGTGGGAGGCTTCTCCCTGGTCTGGGGCATCTCTGGAGAGGACATAGGGCCTAGGATTGGGACTCTCTGGAAGGCATTGTCCCCCATCCTCCCAGTGGCTTTGAAGGAGCCTGGCATCTTACACGAGGGCTTCCAGTCTGCAAAGAGCAGAGGCAGAAGCTGACATGGAGTGGGTAGCAGCTAGGCTGAAGCCAGCCCAGGGCATTAGAAATAGGGTTGAAATTGGGTTCTTTTAGAGATGACCTGTGACACAGGTACCCCTACCCTGCCACCTTCTCCCAGTCCAGGAATCCCTGTGGCCCCTGAGCCCCCACATTCAGCCCTGGCCTGCCCACCACCCCTGCACCCCTCTGCTGTCTCTCTCCCACCCATGCAGACGTGGCAGCTGGGGTCTAGGAAGTGGTGCTGCTCTGTGGTGTCCTTGTGCTGCTCCGCGGTGTCCTTCGCCATGGCAGGCAGGGCCAGTGGGCTGCTGTCTGTGGACACCATGGGTCCCTGGGAGGCACAGGAGGAGAGAGGGGTGGGCTGGGAAGGTGGCTGCAGAAGTCAGCAGCCCTCCATGAGTAGGGAGCCTCGTGGATGTAGTTTTACTTTGCTAAATAATATATATTCTTTTATTACAAAAGTACCGTGAACTTGTTACAGAAAATTTGGAAAATACAGCCAATTTGAAAAAATTTTTTAAATCACCCCTGTCCCACCACTCAGAAACAACTATGGATTTTCTGGGTATTCAGTATATAGTCATTTTTCTATACACAGAGTTTGGGGGGGGGTCCTTTACTAGAGTAGCTGGGGTCAAATATTCAACCTTGCCTTTTCATTTTGCCTGTGAACCATAGCAGAGGCACCTGCCACGTGACATCGTCCCTGTAGACACTGCACTGATGAGTGGACTAGAGTGTATGCATCACCTCTGTTTCTAAACAATCGGGTCATTGCCCGGCTTTCACTATAACTAACAGTACTGAGGACATCCTTGTGCCAACGGTATTTCCTCAAACTTTCAATTACCTCCTTAGGACGGAGTTCTCAGAAGCAGATGACAGAAATGGGGAGAATGAACATTTTCAAGACTCCTGATGCCCATTGCCAAATCTCCCTTTTCCCTCATAATAGAAACAGCTCTAAACACAAACAAACATTGCTTGAGGAAGATCTGAAACGATTTTGAAAACTCTACTCTTGCCCTTAAAACCACCTCAAGAGTAGAGCCAAAGCACAGGTTTTGGAGTCGGACAGGGACAGCCTGGGTTCCAGTCTCCCCTATGGCCAAGTGGCCTTGAGGAAATGGCTTCAGCTTCCTCACCCAGGAAACTGACATCACCTACCTCCCAGGGCACTGTGAGGTCTGAATGAGGCATTGTTTGTGAAAGAGGCACGTAGTAGGTGTTCAACAGGAGTAAAGATTGCTATTCGGTGTTATTTCCCCTCCCCTACTCTGCACCTCACCCCCTTTCCTCTCTCTCTGGCTCCTCCTTCTACATTTACATTCGGTTTATTCTGGGAAAACAGATGGGCGTGGGTTGGGGAGCGGCCACACCCCCTCAGGGCTCCTCTCTGCACAGCCAGCAGTTCTGGTTGTTGGCCTGGATACTGGTTGGGGAAGAGCAGGGATTTCCATCGGTCATATCACTGCATTTCCCCAGCGAACATAGATCAAGGGACCTGCCCCACACTCCCCCACCCTGGACACAGCTGATTAGACCATGGTGAACATCTGACCCACGGAGCACTCAACCAAAGCCAGAGCAGCCCTCTTCTGAGAGTGACTGAAGTGAGCCACTGGGGTGCTCTGATTGGCTGCAGGAGGCTGAGCAGATGGGTTCATGATTCAAGGGCTGCTGAGCCACCTTTTCAGACCACGTGGAAGATGGAGGAGCCAAGGGAGAGGAAGGAGCAGGATGGACATGAGGATGGGGCAGATCCCCTGAGGCAAGAGGAGACTCTACCCAGACTTCCCTGGACTCCAGGTGGTTCCCTGTCGGTAGCATCCCTAAGTCCTTCTGCGGAATAGAGCAAGTCTCTGCTCCTTACATCCAAAAAGTCACTGGCTCAAACAGTGCGGCCCTCCTGCTTCCCAACCTGGGATCTGGTTGGAACGTCTGAGCTTGGGGAGAACTGCGGAGATGGGACTCACTACCATTCACGTGGGGTGCCTCGGGGTTAGGCCAAAAGGAAGCAGACCAGCACTGAGAAGGCGCTGTCACCCCCATGCTCTCCCAGACCCAGCATGGTAATCATCATTACCCTGCTTTACAGTGAAGACCCTGGGCCTCAGTGTAGTCAGGGACTTGTCCAAGGCCACATGGCTGGTGAGGTGAGGAGTGGGAGCCTTGGGCACAGACCCTGCCTAGCACCAGGTCAGGCTCCCACTTACCACCAGGTCCTCCAGGGTCAGCATCTGGTCCATGTCCCGCAAGATCTCGACTTCCCCCTTGTGGGTCAGTTTGGAGGCCGGGAGGCTGCACGGCTCCTTCTGTAGCTGCTCAATTATCTCCAGGCCCTGAGGGGCAGAGCAGCCCTAGCTCAGCTGGGGTCAGGGGTCTCTGACCACCAAGAGCCCAAGTGCTCCCTTTTCTCCCTTGAGACCCCTCTGCTGTGACTCTCCTTCCATGCCAGCCCTGTCCCCTCCTCCACACTGCTGCTTCTGCCAGTCCCTCTGCCCTCAGCTCTACCTCTCCATATTCCACTCATTCACCCTCCAACTCCAGCCCTGCCTCCTCCAGGAAGTCTCCTTGAACTTCACCTTCTCCCACAAGTCAAATCTGCCTCCTGACTATAGCCCACCCTCTGTCCCGGGAAGAATGGTGGAGTCCAGAGAGCGCAGGCTCTGGAGGACCAGCTGCCATTCACAAAGGCCCACAAGGTAGTTTGGCCTTGGGCAAGCTTCTCACTGCTCTAAACTGCAGTTGTTCTGATCTCTAGAAATGAAATTAAAAGCATCATATTAAACAGCATATGTAGAGTGTTTAGCCCGGAGCCTGGCTCATAGTAAATGCTACTTGTGATTCTTATCGGTGATCAATGTCATCCTATCTGAAATGTTTCCTGAAAGCCTGCCTCTTTCTGACAACCCCTGGAGGACAGAGGCCCTGTCCTCCTTGCAGGGCTGGCTTCATGGGCCTGGGCTCCATGCAGTAGCCAGGGCCCTGGGTGTAGAAGGGCCCCATGGTTAATGCTGCTGTCATCTTGAAATTCTTAATTATTGAACAAAGTGCCCATATCTTCATTCTGCACTGTTCCCACCAAGACAACCATTATGCAAGCATCTCCCAAAGCTGGCTCAGTGCCCACACCTTCCCTGCCCCTGAGCAGTCCCCAGGGAAGGAGAGCCCCACAGACACAGGGTCTATGGGGGTGTAGCTGTGAAGTGTGGGCGCTATGGGGTCTCTCACCCAGCCTAGAGCATCAGGAAGACTTCCAGCCTTTTCTAGTGCTTCTGAAGCTCGGATGGGAGCAGGGGAACCCCACAGGGTCTACCTCCCATGGATGCTGGGTGACAATCCTGGAGTCCAGACTCTGGACCATCAACTCCAGTCCCCCCACCCCCCAGCCCAGCTCCATAGAAAAGCAAGTAGAAGATGACATCTCCCAGGGATGTAACCCCTCTTCCAGGCGCTTCATCCCCAATGCCCTTCATTTCTGCCTCTTTTTTTTTTTTTCTTTTCGGTGGAGAGTCTCTCTGACTCTCTCCCTGGCTGCCTGATCTTCCCGTTCCCTCATTTCTGTTTCTCTCTGTCCTGTTCTCCCCGCCTCATGGTCTTCCTCCTCTCTCTACTTTGTCTCTGTCTCTCCAGCTCCATCCTCAGCCCTCCCCCTCCCAAAACCCCTCCCACATGTCCTGACTTGAACCAATAGCTCACCCTCTTCTCCTCCTGGTCCCGCCATCGGGCCAGCTCTTGGGGGGCCAGCTGGACTGAGTTCATCCGCACCAGGTCGTGGGGGGTGACATCTCCGTGAGCCACTTTGAAAAACAGGTCCTGCAGGGACAGGGGCTGCACCATGCCACTTGGAGAGACCCCCACCCCAACCCCATGCCTGGGCTTCGCACCTCTGAGGGAGGCCTGGCCCAGCCCAAAGCCCTGCTCACCCGATTCCTGGGGTCTCGGAGGTTGAACAGGAGGCTGCGGTACTTGGTCTTGTAGCGGCTATTGGTGGCTTGTGTCAGGTCGTAGAGGGCTGCCTCGATGCCAGCAGCGATGCCCTCCACAACCTCCTCACTCAGCACCAGGTCTGGGAGCTCCCGAAGGCTGCGGGGGACAAGGGCAGTGCCAGGGCACTGAGCCCATGGGGTTATCCAGGCATTCAGCCCGAGAGGGAGACCTGGGTGGAGAGCAGGGTCTGGGCCAACTCCGGTTCCCCTTCTGAACATTTTCCTACATGAAGCCATTTATCCTCATTCCAACTCTGTGAGGGAGAAGGAGGATCATTCCCCATTTACAGATGGGGTGACTGAGGCTCAGAGAAGATAAGGGGCTTGCCCGAAGCCATGCAATTAGTGGATAAGCAAGATCTGATTGCTCAGCCCATGCTCCATCCGTAGCCAGTGAAGTGGGGTGTGGAGGGAAGGAAGCCTGGAGGGAGGGGAAGGCACCGATCAGGACAGGGGACAGAGCCCTGGCCCTGGATGTAACCTTGAATCTGCCACTGACTTTCTGTGTGGCCTCTGCAAAATCCTGCCCTCTCTGGGCCTTGGTCTCACCATTAGTAAATGAGAGCTCTGGGCTCAGAGCTCTGAGATAGTCCCAGCACAGAGTCTCATTGTATCTGAAAGTATTTGCTGTGGGTGCGGACCATGAGGGCCCGAACAGGCACTGAGAGCTGTCATGGCTTAAGTGGAAAGCTCGACCTTAAAGCCAGAGAGACCTCAGTTCAAATTCAGTTCTCCAGTAGCTCCTTATGCTGACAAATGACCTCACAACTACAAAATGGGGTTAGTTGTACACACAGAAGCCCTTAGAACACAGCCCTGGGAGTTGTGAGGGTACCCCTTCCGGATGTCAAGGATGTCAGAGAAGTCAGAGAAAGGCCTTACCGACTCCACAGCACCTCTTGCATAGCACGGACCACAGTGCCCCGTACCCCAATATCCAGGGGCAGCTTCTCCTGTTGGGGCTGAAGTTGAGCTGTGGAGAAAGAGAGTCACAGGCTCCCAGTGGATGCTCAGGGGCAAGCGGAAGGGGAGACTCAATGCTGACGGGTTGGGTAGCCAAGGGAGAGGTCCCAACCTCAGGAACCTACCAGGACCTAGGGTGTCTAGGACGTCTGTCTGGGAGCTGAGCCCAGGCAGCCAGCAGCCTCTACCCCTTTGGGAAAGGACTACAGGCTGATTAAAGGGGGAGGGCGTAGGAGAGGAGTCCTAACAGGAGCTGGGCATGGCCGCTTACCTGAGTCCTCTCCCTTGTCTTGTTTACCACGCTCCTCCTCTTTAGCCTCCACTAGGCCGCACTGTGGCTGGGGTGGGGGAGTGGAGGAGGGGTAAGGAACTGAGGCCTTGTCTTTGGGTGCAGCCTCCTGGCCCCAGGGGGACACTGCTTCTCCAGTTGCCTCCCCACTCCCACGTTCTCCCTGACCCGTGCTCCAGCGAGGGAGGCCGTGTGGCCAGAGCAGAAGCATTCACCCCAGGACACTCAGCATCGGCCTCCTGAAAGGGGACCCCATCCTGCAACAGAACAAGGATGTGGAAAAGAAGGTGGTGTCCCTGGGGAGCAGAGAATGACTCCTGGGATAGTGGAAGGGATCAGAGAGGCCACCAGAGTCCCATGCTGTCCCCCTTGAGGGAGGCCACTAGAGGACCTTGGGATGGTAGGACTTGCTCATTGGCCAGGAACAAAGGTCAGCGACTGCTCTCTCCCCAGATACGAGGGGCCTGGCCCCCTTTCTCCCTTGCTCTGGCAAGCTCCTGAACTCAGTAGTGCAGAAGGAGCACACAGCTCCCAGCAGACATCTAACCCTGCCTCTGGCTATTACACTGTGTGACCTTGAGCAAGTTATAGCTTCTCTCTGGCTGCAGCACTATCTCTATGAATCAGGTGGGCAAGTGCCGCTTTCAGCAGGATTAAGTGACATGTCAGTGTAAATAACCTGTTCTGTACCTGGCACCCCTCAAGGCCCTGGGCCATTGGCGTTTCCTTCTTTCTGGGCCTCTGGGCAGGTGAGGCTGAGCTGACCTCCATCATGTCCTCCAGAACCTCCAGCTTTGGAGGCAGCGGCCCCCTAGCCTGGCCATGGCTGATGGCCCCCAGGAGGCGGATCACCGCGCCAGAACCAACCTGCTGAGGGAGAAGAGCCCTTCAGAGCCCTCGCCTCACCTGTACTTGTTTACTGTCGCTCTGTCCCACTGGACTGTAAGCTGCGTGAGGACAGGAACCATGTATGTCTTGGCCTACACTGTGTTCCCAGTGCCTACAAAAGGCCTAGAAAACAGTAGGGTTCAATAAATGTTTGTAGGCTGCCTGGCCTCTGTCCCAAGATAGGAGCCTGTATTCACTCCCATCCTGTTTCCCCTCTCACTCCCAGCCACGTTCAGAGTCAACTGGACCCTGTACTGAGACCCTTCTCACCCTTTTCACTAGAGATGCTGCTTATCAAGGGGACAGATTCTGAGTCCACTTTCCATTCTTCAAAGCCCTGTCATGCCCCTTTTTGGGGGTAACCGGCTTGCTCTTTGCACTTCCCCTGAAGCAGGCACATGGTGAACATGTCCATCACCCCTCTATTGCCTTTTGGAGGAAGCCCTTCAACATCATTTCAAGGTGCAGAGAAGTTTGGGGTCTTCTAATGATCTACAGAATCTATTCTATTCCCCTTTTTGCTTTGGCTGCTAGGAAGCTTAGCATTAAATTTGAACCCAGCAGCTATACCTTTCCAGGATTACAAGACAAGGGGTTATTGTAACAAGATTTCCCCTTCTCCTTCCCCTTTTCTTGCTTCCTTTAGGCTTTTATCCCAATTTAAGTATGTTTTTATTCTTTTAACTTAAAACAAACCATGGGGAATTGTTTTGAAAGCAAATGGGTCTGAACACTAATCCTTGAATGAATTATCATGAATGGTCAGGTTCCAAGGTTTGGGGGAAACTGGAAGTCTGAGATTCAGCATCGTGGGGAATGGGGAACACTAGGAAGCTCTGGACAAGGGTAGGCCATGAGGGGCTGGGATTGCCTCTACTGGGGAGGACCCCTCCCACCCCACCAAACCTCAGGAGAAGGAGGAAGAGGAATAATAAAAGCAAAAACCTACATAACACACATGCTTCACCCCATGGGGCAATTTCACTGCCTCCTTGGAAAGAAAGAAGACACAGAGATTAGAAATCAGAGGACCCAGTGACCCCACTGCAGGGAATTCACAAGAAGACACCCACACTAAGGTGAAAGATGTATATTTAGTGTTCGCTGGGTTGGCATTTATAACAACAAGAAAAAACTGGATATAATCCAATGTCCATCAAAAGGGGAATGGGTAATAAATAGTGATACATCATGCTATGGATTTTAATTGGCCATTAAAAGAAATGAGTCATAATAAAAAACTAATATTCATTGGGGGCTTATAAAGCAGCTGGCCCTGGAGGAAGTCATACCTGATCTTATCAAGGTCTCAGAAAATACCATGAAGTATGTACAATTTCTATCCCCATTTTCCAGATGCAGACACTGAGGCTCAGAGAGGCTCTGAAAAGTCCTGTAGCTAAGTGACAGAGCTAGGATTAGAACCTAGTTCTGCCTGACTCCAAGGCCCAGGCACTTAAATGCTGGGCTATATGGAGAGTACTGACAGATGTGGAAAGATTCATGGAAAGATGTCAAGGAATATTATTTGGGGAAAAAGAAAAAAATAGGTTATGGAACAGTATCTGTTGCATAAGCCCATTTATGTAAATATATATTTATAGATACACAATACAGGTTATCTCTTGGGAATGAAATTCCAGGGGGATTTTCGCTTCTACTAGTAGACACTTGGCTATTTATGTTATTCAAAGTGAGCATGTGTTTCTTTTACAATCAGAAACATATTTTTTAAATTAAAAAACGAGTTCAGAACAATATGTGTCATGTGCTACCGTTTGCGTTAAAAAGGGAGAGAAGGAATTTTTAATTTGTATTTGCTTGAATCTGCATAAAACATCTCTGGAAGTATCTACAAAAACCTTATAATAACAGAGGCTGCCAGCAGGAAAGGGACTAAGAGTTGGGAAGGAGACTTCCCCTTTTTTTTTTTCTTTCTTTTTTAAACCATGGGAATGAAACAGCCTTTTAAAAAAGTAAATTGAGAAACGGGGGAATACAGAACACAGGGGACATCTGGGAAGGAAAACAGTAAAGATATTAAGAATAGTCCTTCACAGTTTAAAACTTTTTGGCTGGCCCCCGTTCTCAGGGGTCCATATACTAGCATACGAGACTCTAAAACATCAGACAGCAGAATCAGATCAGCAAAGACTTTAGATACTGGACTTATCAGACTGGAGTACGACATACGTATGTATAATATGTTTAAAGAAATAAAAGGAGATGTCATACATACAAGTGAAGGACAAAAAATATATATAGAAAGACCAACCAGATTTGGTTGGGAACCAAACACAACTTCTAGAAATGAAAAATAGTATAATAATAACTATTAAAAGTAAAAGTCCTCTTCAGCAAGTGATGTTGGGAAAACTGGATAGCAGCATGTAAATCAATGAAGTTAGAACACTCCTTCACTCCACACAAAAATAAACTCAAAATGGCTTAAAGACTTAAATATAAGACAAGACACAATAAATCTCCTAGAAGAAAACATAGGCAAAACATTCTCTGACATAAATCTTAGCAGCGTTCTCCCAGGGCAGGCAATGGAAATAAGAGCATAAATAAACAAATGGGACCTAATTAAACTTATAAGCTTTTGCACAGCAAAGGAAACCATAAGCAAAACAAAATGACAACCTACAGAATGGGAGAAAATATTTGCAAATGATGCAACTGACACAGGCTTAATTTCCAGAATATAGAAACAGCTCATACAACTCAATAACAAAAAAACCAACCCAATCCAAAAATGGGCAGAAGACCTAAACAAGCACTTCTCCAATGAAGACATATGAATGGCCAATAGAATATGAAAAAATGCTCAATATCACTAATTAGCAGAGAAATGCAAATCAAAACTACAATGAGGTATTACCTCACACCAGTCAGAATGGCCATCATTCAAAAGTCCATGAACAATAAATGCTGGAAAGGGTGTGGGGAAAGGGAACCCTCCTACACTGCTGGTGGGTGTGTAGTTTGGTGCAGCCATTATGGAAAACAGTATGGAGAGTCCTCAAAAAACTAAAAATAGACTTATCATATGACCCAGCAATCCCACTTCTGGGTATATATCCAGAGGGAACTCTAAAGCAAAAAGATATGTGCACCCCAATGTCCATAGTAGCACTATTTACAATAACCAAGACATTGAACTAACATAAATGTCCATCAACAGATAACTGAATAAAAAAGTTGTGGTATATTTATACAATGGAATACTACTCTGCCATAAAAAATAATAAAATAATGCCATTTGCAGCAACATGGATGGACCTAGAGATCATAATTCTAAGTGAAGTAAGCCAGAAAGAGAAAGAAAAATACCATGATATCACTCATATGTGGAATCTGAAAATATAAAAAAAGGACAC